GGTTTCCGATTTGTCTAATTTTTTGTAAGAATGATCTATGAATGAAGACCTGAAAAATATATGGTTTGGATTATTAGAAAAAAAAATTGTAGGGTACCCTAAAAGGCGTCCCTCAAATAAAATTATTTGAAGGATTCCTCAATAGAAGGGGACTGTATATATATATGAGAAATTTGTGCACGCAATAGATATTCCTTTTTTGATTGTTGGTTTTCTTTATAACAAAAAATAGTATGAATATGATGGAGACTTAAGGGGTATTTTCTATTTTGTAGTAGTACTTGCATGTTGTGGAAAATCGACCTTTTAGAAGTTTCACCGGTGACTAGCTAGCCTAAAAAGACAAATACCAAAAGCAGTTCATGACCATACATTTCATAACATTTAATACATGTCATAGCTCACGTCAATTATCATAGCCAACTATGTTCATTGGCGGACTTAGAAATTTTCTAGTGGATGTACAATTTTGAAAGACTAAAAGCTTTATTAAAAAATTAAATAAAATAAACCAATTATAATTGACCATACCTCTAGTTGTGTCGAATTTGCTATTGAATAATGATCATAAAAGCCAAATTAGAAAAAGAAAAAAAAAAGATTACAAAAAAGGGGGAAAAACTATAATTTTAAAAATAAAAAAAATAAAAAAAAGAAGAAGAAGAAACGAATTGGCTTTTGGTCGAGAAGAGGAAAAAAAAACCAACACAACAAACTTACTTTTGGTGAAGAGGGAAAAAAATGCTGCAATAGCAACCCAATTGATTTCCTTCTTTTTTAAATCTTTTCGTAATCCTTGTTTAAATAAGAAAGAAAATGATGTTAAAGCCCACAAAATGAAGGCCTAAGCATGTTGTTGAAAGCCCATGAATTGCAGTTTGCCTCTTAAGGTTTTTTTTTTTTTTTTTTTTTTGGTTGGCCCAAAACGACGTCATTTTGGTTAGAACTTTTTATTATTAAAAAAAAAAAATTTAAGTAAATTTAAAAAGGAGCTCAAGGAGTAGCGCAGCGCAGCAAACAGACTTTGGCTGAGTCATTTTGTCGAACATCTGGAGTGCACAACCACCAGTTGAGCAAATGTGCAATTTGAAGCATCTACAATGGTTTTTCATTGCAGTTTAATAGGTCTGCTACTGACTATGTTAGTATGTCCATTAACCTTTTCTCCATATCTATTGCTTGCACAAGTACTCGTAGGCCTCTTTTGTTATTCAAGACTATCTTGGCATGAACTAGTTAATCCTCTCTTTCCACACGAGTTTATTAGTCCCCTCCTAAAGAGGTGTTTTTGGTGGGCTTGGTAGTGACAATCCCATTTAAGACTAGGATTAGATGAAACAAACATGATACTAAATTTAGTGCAAGCCAATCCAAGCCAAGCTTGTGTAACAAAAATTCCCGTAACGAATTCGAAACTTTAAATAATATATTTTTTCGGTTACAAAATGTTCAAATAATATTACAGAATTACCAACTAATAGTGTTACTTTCAGTTTCAGACCTGATGTGGGAGGTCTTTATATATAATTGAGCCGCTTGAACTGATTGTATCATCACTCTCATCGCTCTCATAAGCTTCTGTAATCTTTGTTATTTCAGAAGGCATCTCAATTAAATCATTAAACACAACAGTTATATCGGGCCTTTGGATTGATGTTGAAGACACACATGCCATGGCAATTTCTATGGATTTTTTAGCAGAAGAGTTGAGGAAGGTTCCTTGTATTCTTGAATCCACAATGCTTTCAATTTCGATTTCGATCTTCTCAAATTTAGGCCTCACCCATTGACATATGTGAATAGGTAATTGTTCCAAATCTCTTATTATTGCTGCTCTACCTGTTATGAGCTCTAGCAACACAATCCCAAAGCTGTATATGTCACTCTTTTTGTTAAGTTGTCCAGTACTGCAATATCTGGAGAGAATAAGAAAAAATAATAACTGTGAACAATATATTTAATAAAACAACCCCTCAGTCAAAATGGTTTTAAAATATTGAAGTACCAAAATTTGAACTTGTCATATCAACAACTGGAAGAAGAATTTCTTGGTTTCTAGGCAACACCAACATATGACCTCAAACAATTTCTACGAGAACTCTAGCTATTAGCATGATTAAAACTTACTCAGGATCCAGGTATCCAAATGTTCCTTTGGCCGCGGTTGATACATGAGTGGCACTTTCAGTTGCAAGACCTTTAGAAAGACCAAAGTCAGCTATCTTAGCTTGTAACTTTTCATTCAATAAGATATTGGATGTCTTTAGATCTCTATGCACAATAGGTGGCTTGCAACCATTGTGTAAATATTCCAGTCCTGCAAAAATATTTCTGCCATGAGCTATGGTAAGTAAACTAAATTAAAATTATATTTATATATACACGTGATATTGAGGGAGGAAAGTATCAAACACAGACCTATATTAAGGGATCATTTCAGATGTTCAAATCTATTCATGAATCATGAATGTTCAAACACTAAAAGTACGAATTAGCTCTTATTTTAGTGATATTTCTCTTCTCAACATCAAGTAAAGGTACGGCATAACAAGGTTCGTCCTCAAACCAATAGAAAGGAAAATACTTGCCTCCTTCTCCTGGAAACAGGAACTCTTACTTCCTTCCAATCACAGTATGACATTTATGCATAAATTTTTGTGTGTTCTTAATGATTTTTTTTTTTTGCATATATGTCAAACCATGATTTGTAAAGATGAGAAGTGTCTCCTTATTCAAATCCAAACATTCATTTAGAAGTACTTAAACATAAGGTGTCTGGACATATACACCAAACTTATATATACCTAGTAGTTATTTATTCAGTGTTCAATTACCTCGTGCGGCATCTATTGCAATTTGAAGCCTCTCTTTCCAAGTCAAAACGTTTTTACCTACATCTGCACCCAAGAGTTGTCGATCATCACGATTCCATATATCTCTGAATTGTTCAAGTTCAAAATAAAATCATTTGCAAAATCATGCATACCAGATGAAATATGTTGTTCCAAGTTTCCATTGGCTACGTAGTCATAAACAAGGGCCATAGTGTCACCTTCATCGCAGTAACCAATGAGAGAAACCAAGTTTCTATGATGAGCACTCATTAAAAGTATAACCTGCAATTTTGTATGCAACATGTGTATATATTTACATCTGTACTTTCGTGATCCAGAGGTAAATATGAAGTAACCCATTTGCATATCTACCTCATTTCGAAATTCATTTGAGCCTTGCCTTGATGAACCGAGTAACTTCACGGCAACTTGAGTCTCATTTTTCAGAGTACCAAGGTTATTGATGCAAAATTATTGGTAATCTTCACAATCTCTGAGTATGTAAACCGTTGACCTTGTGACTCCAAAAATTCATTTTTGTTGAAATTCTTCATCATCTCTACACCAAAAAGGGTTATCAGTAAAATACTCCCGAAAAACAAGAAAGTTATTTGGCAGTCTTACCATGTTGTCTTTTCTTTTTAAAGACCACCCATAAGACAGCTAATATTGTTGATAAGAGAATGAAGAATCCAAGGATATACACCGCTAGGTGAATATTGGTACGGTGTTTCTTCTTTAGTTCGCAAGGGACTTGTTCGGATTGATTTGGATTTTCGCAGAAACTGATAACAAAATGGTTGAGGGCAACTGTTAAGATTTTGATGGATAATCAACCAAGATGTTGTTTCTGTGTTTATTTGTTAATAAACAAACAGACCTGAATGATAGAAAACCATCCTTCCTTCTTTGAATGAGTCCTTTTGGAACAGAACCTGTGAGATTGTTTTTGTCCAACTTTCTGAAAAGCCACAACCACTGCATTTTGTCACCAGAATTTGTACTTGATGAAAGAATTATAGTTTAGTCCCATTAGCAATTCAATAACTTACAAGATGGTTAACTTTGGCAGGTGAGACAGAAATTCTGGAATTGATCCCGTTAATTTGTTGTTCGATAAATCCCTGAAATGATGAACATCAACAAGTCATTCGTTTGGTATGTACGCAGTAGATATTTCAAACACAGTAACTAAAGCATACTTACAAAGTTTGTATCATGGTGAGATTGGATATACTTGGAGATATCTCCCCTGTTAATCCACTTGAAGACAAGTTCCTGGAAGATTGCATGTGTTACGCAAATTATTACATTAATTCACTAAAACATAAGTGGTTGAAAGTTTTTGTGAAGAGTTACTTACAAGGATGTTATTCTTGGCTGCTGGCCATTTTCATAATAAGTACAATTTAGACCTTCCCATGAGTAAACTTGAGGGCTGCAGGGATCTCCTTGCCAATTCCTTTTGATGTTATGTGCTGACTTGATGTTTGTGATTGCATTCACTATAATATTTTCATATGACAACACAAAATCTCGATCACAAAAAATCACTTAATATATATCTATACATAGGAAAGTTTTCAAGCGAGGATAACATATGAGAACATGCTATTTTCAGTCTGTGTTCCAATGATTGTAATCCATTTTTTAGGCTCTCTTATAAGGATCGTCCCTGCAAAAAATCGGTGAAATTGAAAATTGTTTTGCCCTTTGTTCATCGACAAAATGATTTCAGTTTTTATCTAAGACGGTGTCACATTGAACTTTGTAAGGAAGCATAAGTAATTACCATCTTGTTGGTTTGTTTCTGGTTCTGAGAAGTCTTTGACCATATAGGTCTCGAAAGCATTAAGGATCGGTGGGAGGGTAGAGTTCCCACCCTTAGAGATTGAAAGAGTAATATATTGTCCTCCGCTCCAATCTGACACGCTAAAAATCGTATTTACAGACAAGTAGGCAGGAGCAAATGGCCCAAAATAGGGCTTTCCGTTCGTAGTAATGTAAAGCTGTCTAGACTCGTTGCCTTGGAGCTTTTCAACTTCTGCAAAGTGCATGTAAACATAATATTTTCCACTGTTATCAGAAGGCTGCCAGAAAATATTCAAAGAATCATCTACATTTTTTGGCGTGGCAGCAGTAGTCATCACTACAGGTGGTGTTTCGAAACCATTGTTATCTATGGCGGACGAGGTGTTTAATTGTGTCCACTCATCGCGGTCATAGCCATACCAGAAGCGATCGTGTATATCATCTGGATACCTAAATAGAGATAATATATTTCATGGTTATGTAATGAAAAAGAATGGCAATTCTTAATATATACATATACATAAACATAATCCCCCTTAAGTGGGATTCCATTCCAGGTTATCTGGATTGGAATACTCGACAATGTATCGCACAACATATTGAGAACATATCAACATTCATATATCGAAAGCATGACACCATCTACATGGAGAACATGTCAACATCCATATCAACATGATATCAATAATGTGAATGACATATCGAGCATCTCGCTCCCAGTGGTGGAGGTCAATAATTTTTCAGGGAATGAGTAATATTTAAAACGCTACAATCTCCAAAACAAATTTAGACAACCAAATATGCTTAGAATTTAAACAATACTGAGAAAACTTGTGATTATGCAAATTGATGGCATAGTTTTTTGAAGCGAAATAAAAAAGGGAAAACCCAAAACCCCAAATAAATTCCTAAAAAGTATGTAATCATGAGGAAATTAGGTGAACCAACTAAAGACAAAAGCTTTATCAAAACAGAATAAACCATCACAGAAACATGGTCCGAAGAAACACATGAATGAACCTCAAAATTTCTGAAGAAAAAAAATTGGTAATTTGTCCCCAGAAAAAAAAAACTATAAAGGTATTAGAGAAGATAATAACAGCAACCTCAGCATCACAAAAAATAGCCAATTCTTGAGCCTTTTTGAGCAACCCAACACGTCTCTTTTAGAATGTGACTTGTCTGCTATTAGCATTCTCAATTATCTTGATCTCAATCTTCCCCCTGCCGATTCACTCAAAAACCCAAACCAAAACTTCAAATACCCCAAACACAAACTACCCAAATGCTCAAACAAAACAGCAAAGCCTCTTGAGGCATTTAGTCAAACAAATGGTGGGCACCAGGTGAGGAGCAGATTCCGGGCTCTCAAAGATTTTCGGGCAAGGGGAGGTGACAAGGGTATCTTTCAAATAAACTTATTTTATTTGAAAATCCCTCAAATATGTATATATATATATATATATATATATGCACGGAAATTACTGACCTATACGCTCGCTTTGCTACTTGACCAGTGTCATATCGCGAATCAAGTGCCAAGGACCCTGCCTTTGCTATATAAGTATTATTAGGCAAAGTCCTTAGCTCTATGGCTGATACAAATGGAACCCCTTTGCTTGTGTTCACCAAACAAACGTGTATATAGTTTCGCAGAGGGACGTGTATGAGCTCTTTGTTTGTGACGGTGGAGACATTCTCCAACTTCACTGAATCCCACAAATTAGGCCCAAGATGCAGTTGGAATTCTGGCAATCTATACTGGTCGTCATAATTCCCATATAAGAAACTTGCTCGGATCAAATATTTGGTTCCCTTTTTAACATTTATTTTGTAGCAGTTCCGAGTTCCTTTTGGAAAAGCCCTAAGAGACCAGTACGGCTGCATCTTATCTCGCTGATCGTTCAATACAACCACCCTACTTTCATTGGCGTTGATGAAGCTTTCATCTGAAATATAGTGAATGCCTGTTGTCTTTTCAATATAGCTAGAATTTTTTCCTAGGCCGCAATCAATGCTAATGAAACCTGAAACACACATCCGCATTTCATTTGCACACATAAGAGAGAGAGAGAGAGAGAGAGAGAGAGAGAGAGCACCAAGTTAACTGTTCTTTATTTTCTCTTGCAGAGGTGTATATATAATATAGTCATACCTGATTGATCATCTTGGCAATGAACAAGGAGCATGAGATTGAGAGCAAAACCACCAAGCTGCAGTGCAAAGAGGAGGAAATGCTTCAATGTCCTCCACATTGTTGTGCTCGGGAAACACTTAGCAGATTTGCTTTGTAGTTGATATATATGATCATTTTACTTACAATTTCCTCGATATTGTGATGAACACAGCTTTTGCTTGGGTCGATATCGTTGACCCTAATCAGCTACTGGTTAGTCTTCCTTCCAACTTGTCCACCAAGTTCCATGGGGTGTCAGCTTGAGGGTTGATTAAGATGCATGCTGTAGAATAAGTTTAAAATACTCAATAATATTTGTAAAATAAGTTTAAAATTCCCATTATTTTATTCTGTTTACTTTCCACTACTGTAGCATATGCGATAAAATATGATCCACTAAATTAAAATATGATCCACTGACTAATTGATAAAGAAACTTTAACCAATCGTTCTAGAACAGGTGGGGACTACAATGACAGAAGCCAACACCAATCAAGGTTTTTACCTGTAAACTAATTCCATAAATCATCACAAACGCATGAAATTTCATATTGATGAAAGCTTCAAAGAAAGTCTTCTACTAGTACTTTTTAGATAATAGGCTCTTATGTTCAACTAGCAATAGGACTAAAATATGTTTTTGAACTTACATTTCTAACAAAGCGGGGACCTCATAAAAGGACTCCTTAGTATCATGTATTTCCTTATTCGCACCCAAGGTTTTGAAAAGCGTATTATATGTATGTATTTCCTAATTCACACTTACTAGTACTTTCTATATAGCATTTTATCCTTAGTCACGCTCACCTAAGGACTTAATTAATCCAACAGCATATTTAATAAAGACCCTTTATAATTGATTATATATTTACTTAATACTTTCTGTTTAGACAGATTCACTAAGAGATACTACATAACAAATTTTCAATTTATCAATATGTGCAACACATGTCAAATCTAATATCTAGTTAAATAGTTAATTTAGCAACAAGAATATTAGAGCGGGGATAGCTCAGTTGGGAGAGCGTCAGACTGAAGATCTGAAGGTCACGTGTTCGATCCACGTTCACCGCAATTGATTTAGATAATTTTTGGGGGTTTTTTTTTTTTTTTTTTTTGGG